CTCCCCGGCATACTATTTCGTCACTCTAATGATAGTATATATTTTCGCCAAGGGCATCTTCGTCGCGCTATGCCAGCCTTCGTCATCCGTTCAGATCGCAGCGCTGTTTGTTATTGAGGTCCTCATGCTGGTCGCAGTGTGCGTTATTCGACCATGGATGGACAAAAAGACCAACATCATGAATATCAGCGTTACATCCATCAACCTTCTTAACACCCTTATACTTCTTATCATTAACTTCCGCGAGCGCGATATGGCAACGAGTATCCTGGGAGTCATCCTATTCGTCTACAATGCCATCCTCACCCTTATCCTCATCATTGTCATCTTGATCGCTTCGATCATGGCCCTCGTGTCCAAAAACCCCGACAACAAGTACCAAGTAATGAAAGACGACGGCTCCTCTATCATGTCCCGCACACACATGACAGAATTAGACGCTCTAGGTGCCGCAGCGCGAGGCTCCTCCGACCAAAACCCGAAGCAGAACCCCTTTGCCCACAACGAAGTCCCTCCAAACCATGGCAACGGCCTCCAGCCCTCAGACCGGACATCCCCAAGCCATATGACCGGCGCAAACCATTCGCCATCCTCTCCACTTGACCCGTCCGTTCCTCTCTTCCCATCCAGTTATACCCGGAGCGCATCACCCTACGAGTCTGGCGATCATAACCTTAGCCCATCCGAGTACAGCCAGCCAGGTGTCTCTCCGGTCAATCGGGGATACAATGTTTCGCCCATTCACACACCGTCGCCACACGCGTACGGGGCAGGCAACAATGCTACTCCGTGGCAACGGGGAGCCGGGTACGACCATTAGGGCCCTAATACGTGGTATGGGAAGTAATACTATATTCCCCTCACTAACTCTGTGTGCTCTTTTCCGTGAAGCACACGTAGCTCGGAGCAGAACTACGATAATTGGTATATGTGCACGATTGCCACTTGTACAAAGTTTGTTTCTTCGCACTTGATTCTATCGACCGCTAGAGGTACATATATAAGCATACCAGTGTACGGCTGGCTAGACAGTGGAACTTGGAGATATTGACATGGGTTTTAATCATGGACATTTGGGCAGGCGTTATGGGGTATATAAGAGGTATTATAGAGTTCCAACGACAATTACTGTTTAAACTCGTGTCCAAGAACAACAGTCCCTTAGAGATGTCTCTCCGTCGTCGCCGATCAGCTAGGCAACGGTGATCCCGAACATTGCCGTGTCGCCTAATTACGGATAAACACAGGCAAAAATTCACGATTCCAGATCCCAATCGGCCTCCAAGAGGTAGAGCGAAGGAATCCATCGGTGGGTATAGTATAGGTCAATATAGGCAACGACGAGGCCATGGCGTAGGCAGTAATATCCAAGGGTTGGGCACAATTAATGGGGGATCCATCCTGGATGACAACTAGTCTCACGATGAGACGGTGGCCTGATGTGTGAGATTGCCGCCTGTATCTACACCTATTTTGATGACAGCCAGCTGTATATCACTGTGTTGGATTATCTTTTCATTAATCGGCCGGGTGGCGCAATGGTAGCGCGTTGGTTTCCGGTACCAAAGGTTTGCGGGTTCGAGTCCCGTCTCGGTCGAATTCTTCTTTTTGTTCATCTCCCTTTTTAGCTTCTTTTTTCCTTCGTAGTAAGTATTGTACTGATTTATTTGTGTTTTTTGTCTCCTTGGCCTTCATTTTGCTAACTAGTTGCTTAGCTTAGCTGCTTAATGCCACATCACATTCCAATAGCTTATGCACTTGTGTATATCAAGCGCAACCTCTACCAGTGGGAGTGAACACCCTACCTCGCTGTTCCAGCATTCTCGAGCTTTCTTCATTCTCTAGCTTCCCTTCATATTCCACACATATCTTGTTGTCTATTCCCTTTACTACCGCCTGCCTCCGATCTATTTCTCAAGACTTAATACCACAATTTGTCTCATCAACATGTGTGGCACTGAAGAGGTCCAGACCACCGAGCCACAAGTACATATTCTTTGCTCGGCTCCGGGCTTTACAGTACCTTATCCGGACGACGTGGATGCAAAGGTTACCGAAAGTAATACAATCTTTAACTGGGGCGGTGTTACAATAGCAAAGATATCTCCTACTCTCGTCGTGAAATTCGGATCTCATGTTACACTCAACGAAGCCAAAAACATGATGTTCGTTGGGCAAAACACAGATCTCCCAGTACCGAAAGTATTTGCCTGCTATTCCTATGGCCCAATAGATCGAGATATCAAAGACTACGGTAGTTTATTCGACACATATATATTTATGAGCTATGTGGAAGGCCAGACTCTAGATAAGGTGTGGGACACGTATGAAGATATACCAAAAAGCCGTATTACCAGTCAACTAAAAGAGTATATCCACCAACTTCGTCAACTTCGCCATGAGAATTATATCGGCTCAGCTGATTTCGGCCCTGTTACGGATCCAATCTTAGAGACCTATTCTAACAAAGGTTTGTGGTATCTAATCTAACTTTTCATAAGGATGCTAATATATGTCAGGACCGTTTGATTCTGAAGAATCCTTCAATAATGCAATCATCGAAGCATACCAGCTAAAAGCACCAAAACGTCATATCAAGAGTTTCCTAGTTGGCATGCTTTCCCAGAAACGATATCAAATCGTATTTACCCACGGAGACTTGCGTCCTCAAAATATAATGGTCAACCATGGAAACATCAGCGGGATTGTAGATTGGGAGTTTAGTGGCTGGTATCCAGAATACTGGGAGTTTTCAAATGCCCTCTATGTTTGGAAGTGGCAGAATGATTGGACCAACTATCTCATACAGCTTCTGGAGCCTTATTATTCGGAGTATGCAGTTCATTCTTTCTTGACGGAGGTACTATGGTGATAGTATTTGCATCACAGATAGGATGTCGAGGTTTTTGAATCGGAATGAGGTAGTTCATGCAAATGAAATGAATACAATCACACCTCAGTGAGCGTCTAGCTCCAAATAGATATCAAGATTTCAATTGTGGACAATCGCAGCTGTAGGTAAGCCTAAAGTTTAACTATAGTTGTTGGTGACAATGTATTGGAAGGATTGACACGAGGGGGCTGAGCCAGAGCAAAAGGAGCGCGATGCCCGATAGGTTTAGGCGAAGCGCCAACGTCTGTCTATATATAAGCGAGGATTTCATTCTAGCCAATCATTCCCGTAGTAATGATTTGTGGTGCTCGAGCTGCGTTGTGACTTGGCGCATAGCCAGGAAAGTCCCTGTTCTCGGGTGGCGAGGTTGTTCTAAATACACACACTCAATCAAGGATTGGTAAATAAAACCCAGTATACGATATGAATGCTTACTGGGCAGGCCCTGAGTGTCTTCAGTAAAGCGGCGTTGTTCAAAACATGAAATCTACGATATTATAGCAAAACAGGTATGTATAGGTAGGGGTATATATATGGACATATGATAGTCTAAGCCCTACCTCAGTTGATCAGAGACACTCAACTACCACTCTTTCTTACCAACGTTAACAGCCAATTCTCTCAGCAATAAACAGATAAATACGCAAAGAAGGATGGAAAAACAAATGAAAGCCCGGAGAAGAAATCCCAACCATATCATCTGAGGGTTGTGGGGTCATCGAGGTATATCTTCGTCCCGGAAATACCCACCATCCCTGTAAAAACAGCTCCGTCGAAATAGAAAATAATATTCAATCGTAAGATTCACTGATATCAGACGTGGTGTCTAAGACAAACTCGTTTCATACCAAAAATATCTTGCATTGCTATATACGAAGCACTAGGAATCAAATACTCAATAAACCTAGGCATCACAGACCCACTTCTCCGCGCGCTGAGGCAACCATCCACTAGTTCTAGGCAGAGACGTCTGGCGACGAAGATCTCCGACAGGGATACCCATGCCAAGCATGAAATTCTCATCCATGCGACATTGGTCCTCATAGAAGGTCCACTGGACACATCCCTCCCAAGCTACACAGGCAGCCTCACAGGCATCCACCGACTTCCAGGCGCCGTGCCAGACTTGCTTCGACACTCCCTCGGGAGGCTGCGCGTCGGCAATATTGTCCGATCGAAGCTCATAGCGGGAGGACTGGTTGTCCCACCATTCTACCCGACGACGCATGTACGGCTCGATCATGGCCTTGAAGAAGTCGCGGTACCTCATCTGACCCTTCTTTTCGAAATCCCAGCTCTGTTCGAAATTATAGAGCCGCGCTACATCCTTACTGTGTGTATGATGCCAGCTGTAAAGAGGATAGCACCAGCTCGCGCGCCGGAACCAACCGCCCCAGTGCGGCTCCGGGTTGAAACCCCAGGAATACTCCGACTTGCCATGGATCTGGCCGAAATTAATACCATAATCCTGCATGACATGGCCAAGAACGTGGTCACCGCAGCCATGGGCCTCCGTAAAATCGGCATATTTAGTGACCATGTCCTCTTCCAGGCCGAAGCTCTGCTCCCACGCACCCCGCGAGAGCACGAAACCCGCACCACCGTGGGCGAAGTAATCGCCGTGTTTCCAGGCAAGACCGCCGAAGTACCACGGCTCCTGCCACGAGAACTTCTCCAGGTGGAGCAGCAAGTTGGGCAGGAAAATGTATCCGTCGTCTTCGATGTAGATGTACCACTTCGCGTCCGGCTTTGCGCGGCCGGCGTGTTGGATGAGGGGCAGGAACTTGTATTTGTCGAGTTTCCAGCCACCCGCGGGGCCATTCCCGTCGCCCTCTACGTTGGCCATTTCTGCGTAGACCTGTCGCGCTTCATAGTCGGGCTGCTGACGGTATGGTTCGTAGTTGTCCGTTTTCAGTACCGTCTCGGTGGAGTTTTCCAGGACGTCGATGACTTGCCATGAACCGATAGTCTCGGGGTAGTCAGAGTAGATGATGACGTTGTCAGCGGGGATACGGCTGGGCTCGAAGCTGGTGGACAGGTGAATTGGTAGTCGTCTCCATAGCACGGAGGCACCGGTTTTGAAGAGGAGCACGACATCATCTGGACTCAACTGGCCATATTGTTTTGGTTGTTGCTTTGGTTTTTGCTTGGGTTTCGGCCTCTCCTGGGCACGGGTGCTCGGTTCCTGCTCATCGGAGGAAGGAGTAAGAGGGGCAACAGGGACCGCGGAGGGAGAAGGCTGGGCAGAGGGCAGTGGCTGTTGCTTTGACTCCTCCCTGAGCGGCGATTGCCGGGAGGATAGATCCTGTGGGAGATCAGGAAGACCGTGAGTAATCGCTGGGTCGTTGTGTTCCAAGTCCAGATGATAGAAGAACAGGAACAGGACAAAGATCATAATCCCCAAGGGGACTATGCGGTTCTCTCTATGAAACAAAACTCGCGCCATAGTTAGTGTGTATGCCAGACTTATTCAGCCAGCATGGCCGGGGATGAAGAAAGCGTCTCGCGGACTTTTCAAACAAAAAGTTCCACGAGACTCCTGCTGAGCAACAATCATATTATTAGAAGAGCTCGCAATGGTCATGTTCCAATGGAGTGAGGCTGAAAGTCTCAACCGGATGAGCATCGCGCATAGACCCCCCTTTTTTTTCTGTCTCTCGAATTTTCTGGGCAATTTTTAACAAGAACAGTGGAGCCGAGTGGCAGTGGAGCACTCAGGAGATGAGCAATTTCCCGATTTTATGGGAGTTGGCGGATGATTAACTTTTCCGCTCGGATCCAACTCTCTGAACACCGTTTTTACCACCCAATAACGAGTCTCGAAGTGAGTCAATTTGTGCAGTAGTTCAACGCCGTCGGGCATACCATTGAGACACAATGTAACAGTTTTTCTGGCAGTGGATTCGCTTAAACAACGAAAACCATGGCCATTGGCTGGAAGTACAGTGTCAACCAACATCCTCTTCCTACTTAGGGCAAATGGGACCCCGGCAACCCGGCAGAGCCTCGTTTTCGACTGGATTTGGAAAGCAAATCGACCAAATATGGTGTGTCACACTGAGATATACGATGTGATTCCTCTTCAGGAGAATGGATCTAAACTGCTCTCGGCCTTCGCCGGCAATTATTATCCATTAGCGTCGTATTTTTTTTTTCTTGCCTTCCTGCCTGTCCCTCCTGACCGTGAATTGGGGCTGAAAATGAGGCCTTAATTTAAGACACGCGAAGGTTTGCCCCGAGCTATTATTAGTTATGAATAGAAGGCCATGGCCACTTGTATCCAGTGTCTCTGGCATTAAAAAATCCTGCCGGTCACCGAAGAGTTCGTTAAGCAACATCACTTCGCAGTGATGGAGTGGACGACAGAGAAGATCGCCGCGAGACTGCCAGTCTTCCAACAGCGAGGCCCTGATGTGCCCGCTTGGCGCCAGTTCCTGAACTTCCTGGGTTGTTTGTTGATCCTCCCCGTGTACTATTTCATCACCGGCTACAGTCGTCATCCCTTGACGCTGGACATTTTGATCAGCATCTTCGTGGCTGAATTCAACCGATATGCCAATGAGGGGCGGCGACGCCGGCTATATGGCCTCGATGCACCACCAAAGGCGAAAGAAGACCCCGAAAAGGCTCCCATGTCTCCCAGCCTCCATACAGGTCCTGACTGTTTGGCGGTAGTGGTAGGCTATCGTGAAGATCCGGAACTCTTCCGTCGCGCCTTGGATAGCTACAAGCGCGCTGACGGCTGCCGTTTTATCTTGGTGGGAGTGGACGGTGATGAGAAACCCGATATGGATATGGTCCGCATCTTCGAGGAAGCTTATCCTGAAGACTCGGCCATCGTGCATATCGACGAACCGTTTGGCGAGATCGCTATGCGCACGTACAAAAAGATCTCAGAATCTTGCTACGAGACTCCTGCGCGTTGCCAGGAGATGACCATTGCCCACTGCTGCCAGTTGGCCCGGGAGATTCTTGCCGAGCATGATCTTGGACTGGGTGAATTAGGAGGTATTACCAGACTGTGCTTGTACCAGCCGCATATGCACAAGAAAGCGATCATGTTCACCTCGTTTATCTTCTCTATCGTAATTTCGGATATTCTTGGTATCGAGTACATGTGGTCTTCCGATTCCGATACCATCGTCTATCCAGATTCCGTGCGCCGCACCGTTGAGACGATCGCCGGAGATCCAACTGCCGGTGGAGGCAGTTCCGGACTGGTGGTGCACAATGAGGATGATTCGATGACGACGAAACTCGGAAGCGCAGTCTACTGGTGTGAGCTGTACATGACAAGATCGACCTCAGCGTCCTCGGGCACGAGCGACTGCCAGAGTGGTCCGAGTACCGCATTCCGGGTGTCTGCCCTGCCCTCAATCCTATACCCCTGGTACACACAGACAGTCTTTGGTCGTCGAATGGTTAGTTCACTCACATCCCTATCTTGCAATTGGACTTCCAGCTAACAAGCCCATAGATTGTCAATGAAGACCGCCATCTAACAACAAACCTTCTCTTACGTGGTTGGACGGTCACATACGTCTCGGACACATTAACAGCAACAGATACTCCCACCACATTCAGCCGATGGCTTCTCCAGCAAGTTCGTTGGGGTCGAGCAACGCACATCGAAACCTTCCAACAACCGAGGGTCTATCTCCTCAACCATCCTATCTTCTTCTGGGCCGCTATGAAAAAAGAAGTCGGCCCCCTCCTGGTCTTCCTCTGTGTGCTCTACTACGTCATAACCGGCCAACGCTTTGCATACTTCTCCTCCAGCGATGCTTTCCTCCGTGTGGCCTACACCATCGGCTACAACTGGCTCCGTAATCCAGACCGCGGGCCACGCAATGCATGGATCTGGATTGCCCCCGCGCTAGTCTTCTACAACATTCCCCTCCCCAGCATCCATCTCTGGAGCATGTTGACCGTGTTCGAGAGAGGATGGGGCACAACGATGCGGTCGAACGCCGAGATGTCGAAGCGCGAGCAGTTCTGGAAACGCGCATATGACCTGGGTTTCTTCGTGGTCTGGATGGGTATTGTTGGGGGTACCGCTGCACGGATCATATCTGGCTATGCAGGCTGGGATGCAGCTGGTACGGCGAAGGCCCTCTTCTTGGGCGTGCTTGTCCCGTCCGCTATCTCGTTCTATGGGCTGTTGGTTCGTGGATGATTTTCTCTTCTTAGGATATATTTAGATTCAATAGTATTATAATTTAGACTAAACGACTGGCCGAACTATGCTCTGCAGTCTGGACATATTCATTTGATGTTCAATCTTCGATATTTCACTGCGCTTGTCCTCACTATGGCTCTTGTAAAACATGCAACCCACCTACTCTACCATATACTACCATGCACTGCAGTGATATACTTGAGACAAAGGGGTATCTCCGAGATCATTCCTTCTGCTCCAGCGAGCTCCACCCAAGTGCCAGAGAGTCTCGTCATGATCTCTCCTGAGAAAAGCTTACTCGAAGCCACGGCTTACGCTAAGCCATAATGAGCGATCTGCATTATCTCTATACTCCATACATATAGTCTGTGTCATTGAGCAAGGAGGGCCAGTCTTGCCATGTATGTAGATCGAAGAACTATTTGTACATGAAACACATCCGATGGAAAACCTTACAGATACCACACTCGAGGGAGATAGAACGCCAAGGAGTTTAATTTCCTTAGCTGAGACATGTCTTTGTGATAGACTATATAGTCTGTCGATCGATCCACCACTGAAGATAGGCACGAGCCGCCCCACTCGTCCGTCTAAATTGAGGATAACGGAAAGTGTGGCTTGCTATTTAACCTAAATGCTACCGTAGATTTCACGATCTACGCTATAGCGCACATCTTCAGATGGCAGAAGATGGGGACTCGTTCTCAGGTTCGAGGTAGACCTCCCGAGTTGTTGATTGCTATTCATTACGGGTATGTGAGCTCTCAGGCAGGGGTAATCTCCACTGGGGTTTATTATTGGAAACTATCGCCATCCGTGGAGTGTTTGGAGATTGTTGCAAAATAGTGCGGCGGGACGATCACCACCCCTAGCGTTTGGACCATGCAAGAAGGGTATACATTGATAGAAGGAACTGGTTTCTCGGGGACATACGCAAGGAGATATGCTAATCACTACCACTTAGAATTTAATATTGAATTGTCGAGGAGATATAAGTGAACAGCCTTTATATATCGGTCTACATGTACAGTTAAGGAGCATCGGGAAATGAAATGGTTGGATAGAAGTATCGAATGGATGTCAGGTACCGGAGTTGACTCATTATGAGGAGCGCGTAGATCTTGCGACATTTCAATATGAGCTCACATACTTGCGGATTCTCTGCATATCAGATTTGATGAGCGAGTTAGGAAGTTGCATATATAGGGCTCTCAGTGTCAGCACATACACTTATGCATCGAAAGCAAGTAAGCAATGCATACACAGCATCTTTATGCAGTTCCATGTGACTTCAGTGCCTGGACAGTTCAGCCCACCACCCCCTCTGGACCTCGGACCACCGGCGCCGATCTTCCGAAGCATGTACTAACTGTTTCTAAACAGCTCATCGCACCGATTAAATAAAACGGATTCTTTTGTACTGTAAATATTCTGAAAAGTATTTTGTAAACCTAGCTCTTTACTAAACTAGTTTAAAAGTATATAATCTACTGACAGTAGTAGTAGTCATAGTAAAAAAATGTCTTGTAAAAAAATATAATAATCTCACCCCACCGACAGTGTGATGAGGTCACATGACCCCGGAAAATCGGCGCCGGTGGTCCGAGGTCCAGAGGGGGCGGTGGGCTGACCTGCGTTCTGCATCTGGGCTATCACCACATCAGGTGACTTATCAGTACAGTCACGTGCCGTGTCCCGCTGATAACGCATGAATTTTTTGGAGATCAACAAAATTGCCTGCGGAGACAAAATATTGAAATCACCACCAGCCATTGCGAGATGGGAAAAGTCGCACGAACCAAGCACACCAGCGGTGCCAAAAGCCCATACCAGAAGCCCGACAAGGGCCCACTGGGTAAGGCAGCATCCGCCATTTTCAAGTTCAATACCGATCTCGGTCAACATATTCTCAAGAATGGAGCGATCGCCGATGCCATTGTCGACAAGGCCAATATCCAGCAGGGCCAGACGGTTCTGGAAGTCGGTCCTGGTCCCGGTGTCCTGACGAATCGCATTCTCGCGAAGGCCAAGAAAGTGGTGGCGGTCGAAGTCGATCCTCGAATGGCTGCGGAACTCACCAAGAATGTACAAGGGACTCCGGCGGAGAAGCGACTCCAGATTGTCCTCGGTGACTTTATCAAGACGGATTTGAGTCAGCTGCCTCCGTTCCAGATTTGCATCAGTAATACCCCTTATCAGGTATGTGTGCTGTGTCTACCTTGGGTGGATTGTTGATTGATTATGAATGCGGGGCGGAGAGACTGACAATTTTACCATAGATTTCCTCCCCGCTTATCTTTAAACTCCTCTCCATGCCTAATCCTCCCAAAATGTGCGTTCTGATGGTTCAGCGCGAATTCGCCCTCCGTCTTATCGCCCGCCCCGGAGATGCGTTATACTCTCGACTCTCGGTGAACGTGCAATTCTTCTCGCGCGTCCAGCATATCATGAAAGTGGGCAAGAACAACTTCCGTCCTCCACCACAGGTCGAGTCTAGCGTGGTCCGAGTCGAGCCCAAGGCGGATCGTCCCTCGATCAGCTGGGACGAGTGGGATGGTATGCTCCGTATATGCTTCGTGCGTAAGAACAAAACCCTTCGTGCGGGTTTCATGGGAAACAAGACTCGCGCCATGATTGAAAGAAACTGGATCACTTTCGCCACGATGTACCCGGAGAAGGTTGCGCAGGCGGACATAGAGTTCATGCTGGGTAATGGGGAGCCGGAGCCCATGGAGGACGTGGAAATGGATACGAATAACGACGCGGATGCCGACGATGTTCCTGAGCTGGACGAGGACGATATTCTAATGGGTGATATGGGGTTCGAAAAGAAGAATGTCCCAGAGATTCCCAAGGGAACCCTTCTGACTATCGGCAACAACAAGGTTTCTCGAATCATGGTAACGAAGTTAATACAGGCCAAGATTCAGCGCATCCTGGACCGGACTGAACTGTCCAACGCTCGTGCACAGAAGTGTGACGAGAACGATTTCCTTCGTCTTCTTCATGCCTGCAACAAGGAAGGCATTCACTTCTCATAGTCTGGTGACGTCCAGTGATATTTGATTTCGACGAGCAATGAGATTTGTATGTATGTGCGATGGGCACGCTGTTACAGGATAGCAGCCAGTTAGCGAGCACATTTTTTAGAGTTAATGATATCCTAAAAGTTTTTGATGGAGCAGCAACTGCTACTCTTGAAGTTATAAACTTTTTCTACAGTCTAACGTAAACGCGGAGAGTTATCGGAGCTAAAGTCCTTTATATACAGCATTGGAAAATGGAGCCTGTAGGTAATACGAGGCACAGGTGCTTAGGATATTGTCACTGGAAGATTAAGCAAGATCTTGAATCATAAACTTAGTATAAGTAGCAATGGACCGTGTGAAACAAAAGCAATAGGGCTGAACATACACGTGACTGCCATCAAAAGAAGTTTTAACTAGCAACAGGGATCAATATAAGTTTGTGTCACTTCTTGTCCAGGAAGGTGGCTTATTACGTACAGCCCAGCATGGAATAAAGCACCAGGATTAGAAACTTTGATTGACAAGGGTATATCTCGGGTGGTGGCTTTTATCACGTAGTCATGGATACTGATGCAGCCCTGGAGCTGCAACTAACCTTCTCCCTGGAACCTGTCGTAGAAGCATAATCTCGAACATGAGAGCAACGGGAAGACTGGAGTCTATGACTTGGGGCACGAAGCAGTGACAATCTGGAAAAAAAGAGGACCCAAGTCCACGTCGAATTCAGGGGGAAGCGGCTCCCATCTCAAGTTGCTGAACCCAGCCTGAGTTGCACATTCCTCATGCAACCTCGGTTCAAGCATATAGCAGAAGAATGCTATCGGGTCCGTAGTGTCGAGAATAACCTGAATGCGAGTACCTTGTGTCATCCGTTCAAGCACTTTGTAGGTCAGTCCTCCGAAGTGGTATTCTTGTCCGCTGGCAGTCGTCTGTAGTATCTCGAAATTTGGAATGATTCCGAGAAATTGTGCCCCAGGCTTCAGGCTGCGAAAGATATTCTGCCACATTGTCAACAGCTCCGTCTGGCTCTTGGCATAGTTCAAAAGCCAGATGCCTAGGACGAGGTCGAATGTCCCTATGTTGAATGGTTTGATGCAGTCCACAACATGGAACTCAGAGGGATCCTTTGGCCGGGCCTGGAGACGTGCGCTGGCCACCATGGCCTTGGAAATATCCACGCCAACAACTTTTTTGCTCCCCAGTCAATGCTTTTTCGGGACCAGTACCCGGCTCCGCAGGCTAAATCAAGCACTTCGAGCCCGTGAATCGCACCAATTTGACCTTTAAGGATGTCTTCTAGTAACCATAGGTTAGGAAGATTGGCCGCATCGTTGTAGCGGTGTCCGATCTTATCGAACTGAAGAGGATCCATATTTTACAGACGAACCTGGCTGCCTTCTGCCTCTGAATGAACTGCTTTGGAAATTGACCGTGTGTGGTGAAGCACTGAAACCTACTGCCGCTATCAATAGTTCTATTCAGTTAATCCAGCGAAGAAAAAAAAAATGTAAGCCTGACGTAACTGTATGTGCATTATTTATCATACGATCGAACGGAGGATACGTGAATTTAACTTTAGCCATGAATGTTTAATTGGATAGAGTTCAAATGACACTCTAATGTACATGTACCTAGTAACCTTTCAATGCTCAAGGCAGTGTGAGTTCTAGGCTGTAGTTCCTTTGGAGTACAAGTATCAGTTGCTTTTGGATATGAGCCCATCTACATGGTAGTCGCCTTCAAAATATTAGAGTTGCTGAGGCAGCAGATGTGCTTGCTGATACTGGTTAGCGGAGCCCGTGCTAGTTCAGGTATCATCTAACAGAGGCCTTGCTACAGAAGCATTAGGTCTAGAATTATGACCTGTCCATGTAGGTGTCACGGGTTCGATACCAAATCGGCGCATATCTCCTGTAGAGCTCCCGCACCCCTAACCCGGGCCTCTTTGCATAAATCCTGGCCCCGGTGCTTCCTACAGAGACCCTGGCCACCGTTGCAGTTTAGAAACCAGCCGAGCAAGGTATTGCCTGATCGATTAGGTCAAACAATGTCAGCTACATAGTTATAGCGGTTAAATATCCCGAGAGCAAAGCTTCGATTTAAGCTCAGAAACGGAAACCTCTTACTGTTGACCTTTACTACGTGCAGTGGCTGAGCCTCTACTAGATGGATGTTTTCATATTTCCAAGAATATTTGAGTATTAATAATATGTATATTCATTGTTATCCTGCAGTGTAAGATGAACAATTCACAGATATGCAACAGAACATTGTTTCTCTGAAATTGAGCTTTTTCACAATCTTTATTGCACTCTGACGGTCGTAAATAACATTACTACTAAAAGGTCTGCGCATGGCCCAACATTCTCCGGACCCTTACATCTGGAGCAAGGCAGTGCGACTTAGTGCGGCTTGCGCCTCTAGTGATCTACATACTACGGGTGGCCTAAATTATTTATAGTCTTAACAGGGCGGGGTATGCGCATTTTCTAAGGGGGATTGCTCGTATTTCCAGAGCTTCAAAGTAAGTCCTACTCGATCTCCGGCCAATATAAGGTGCACTTGCCAGGAACTCTTCTCACCAGTTTCCCTGAGTCACCTTCCCGCTTCCCTACCTCTCCCCATCTATATCATTCCAACATGCTCCATACTTTTCTCCCCCTTGCTGCGCTATTTACGACCTCTGCGCTGTCATCTTCTCTGTCATCAGCAGCTCGAGCACCAGAGGCAGCCGCCGAGCAATGCAACGGCATATCTGGGCCATTTCTGGGTCCTTCCTTTCCTGACCCATGTGAGCTCAACAAAGGCAGTCTCCAAGAAACAGCACTAACATCATATATAGCGATCTATTACATAGATGACACTTGGTACTCCTTCGGTACTTCCAATGGAAAAGATTTCCAAGGGGCAAAATCCGCGAAGTTCGACAGCGGATGGAGCAAACTCAAAGGCCCAACCCTGGCCATCAAGGAGGCGACGTGGGCAGGCCAGCAGGAGAATGGAGTCTACGGCTTATGGGCACCCGATGTCTTTCGGAGGAGCTCTGACAACAAATTCGTCATGTTTGTGTTGACTACCGTGGAACTGTGAGACGCATTGCTAACACTATGGCAGGTACTTCGCAGCGCTCGACAAGGAGACTATCGGAACTAAAAAGGTCCAACACTGTATCGGAGCTGCCGTGAGCGACGATATCGCGGGCGTGTACCACCCTGAGAACGACTTCGTACAGTGCAACCGAACCTCATCTGGTGTCATTGACCCCGCTTGGTTCAAAGATACCGACGGCAAGCAATATGTCGTCTACAAGACAGAAATCCCCGAAAACTGGCTGGAGATCCGGGAGGTGCGCAACTCTGGGCCCAAGGAAGGCGTCGAATGGGTTGGCAACGCACAAAAGCTTCTCCGGGTGAATGGGCAAGGCTTTTCTGATGGAAACAATATGGAGGCTCCGTACATCTTCAAGCGCGGTGATACATACTTCTTGACCTACAGCACCCACTCCACTGCCGACGCCACGTACGACGTGCAATATGCGACGGCGAAGAAGGTGAACGGGCCCTATACTAGGGTCAAGGAGCCGCTTCTTAAGACTACAAATGCCTTTGGCTGCAAGCTCATTGGCCCTGGCGGTGCAAGCTTCCAGCGAGGATCTAATGGTAATCAGGAGGTTACCAAGATAATCTTCCATGGTCTTACGGATGCAATGGATATCAACAAGCGTGTGGTGTACACGGCGACTGTGCAGGTCAATGGTGACAGACTCTCTATTGGTTCAGCATAGACTTTGAGCTACCCTATGGGGTTTTATCTATATGCACCATGGGCTGAAGCTAGCCAAAGTGTTAGAGGATGTGGCGGGTTGAGCGTGCACACCCAAACATACTTCAATATATTGAGGTAAATGTTATTAAACATCAATGTATGTAATATGTATCAATAACTACCGGACATAACCTCCAGTTTCACTTGTTCCTGAGCATATTCAGATACTGGTCACTGGTTTAGCTTTCTGATACTACAGCACGGGTTTTGTTCCAGACAGGCCATTACTGTAGACCAATTCAATATAGGTCTTGTAAACGTGTTGAAAGGATGAGTTTACTTTAATCAAATATGGATAAGCTGGGGCTTTTCACATTGCTTTAGGGTAGAGACAGCGTATACTCTCGCTAACTGTCGATCGTGTGCGGGATATAATTATGGCTAATCCGCATCGTCATGTTAGTAGTCATTGGCATAACTTCACTAACTATAATCTCTGATAAGTAAGTCTTGAGGCGAGACCAGAGGTCGAGAATGAGAGCCATTGATATCCATAGTACGAGGTTTTTATTGCAGGGATCATCTCCAACAATGAAAGCCTGGGATGACTCATCTGCTGGTCTGGAAACAAATAAAGCAACTTCAAGTTCCTGCTCCCAAAATCAAATTATTCTTCTATATACGCATCTTACAGCAGTGGGTGGAAGAACAGACCAAACAAAACCCTACCTCACGTTGTCGGAAGAGAGATGGTGGGTCACTCGACAAACCATGAGGAGCTTGTGTCGATGGGCGACAGATCAGAACCAGACCAAACCTCACAATCCACCGCAATCCGAGATGGTGGCTACGGCTGGGTCGTCGTATTTGCATGCTTCGTCCAGACCTTCTGGGTGAACGCGTGGACGGGCTCCTGGGGTATCATTCAGGCAGCCCTCCTGCTGCAGAGCAATGTGCGCGCTGTTCCCACGAGCACGATCTCTTTTGTTGGGTCACTGGGCTTGTCACTTACCGTAGCCCTTGGGCTCGCCTGTGTCTGGCTGGCCGGCGTTATTGGTGCACGGTGGAGTAGCCTGATTGGGGTCGTATTGTTCGGCGCCAGCACACTCGTCGGCAGTTTCACTGTCAGCAATATCGGAGGTCTGTTTATATCGGCTGCCCTCTACGGTCTAGGAGCGAGCCTGATGTTTACCATGTCCAATAGCTTACCGCTCCAGTGGTTCAACGACCGCCTCGGCACAGCTAACGGACTGGTCAAGCTCGGGGGTGGCGTCGGTGCCACCGTCATGGCATTTGTGCTGCAGCAGCTCATTGATAAAGTCGGCATCGCCTGGACCTTCCGCGTCATGGCCTTGATGTCGCTTGCTAGTGGGATCCCGACCGCGCTGCTAATTAGGGAGAGGGCACCACCATCTTCCTCCTCGATAAACATGTCGCTCTTCCGTAATCTGACATTCTTCTTCCTGTTCGTAGCCGGCTTTGTTGGCATTTTCGCCCTTTACATCCCTTCTTTCTTCCTGCCTACTGTTGCCACCTCAATCGGGCTCTCATCTACGACTGCTGCGGCTGTCATGGCTTGCTACAATGCTTGCATGGCCCTGGGCCGTCTGGTCTCGGGCATCGCCTGCGACAAGCTCGGCTCCACCAACATGCTCCTTCTGACTATGGCCCTCAAGCTGTCACTATGCTGGCAATCTGGTCCGTTGCATCCACCTTAGCTGCTCTGGTCATATTTGCCGCCCTCAATGGAATCGCAAACGGGGCCTTCTTTGTCACCATGCCGACCGCTGTCGGAAGGCTACTAGGTCCATATGCCGCGCCTGCGGGCATAGGCATGGCCATCACCGGTTGGAGCGTCGGTGATCTGTTGGGTAATCCGATCGCGGGCTTCTTGATCGCGGCCACGCATGCAGGTCGGGCGAACTCCATCGTCCCCTACCGTGCAGCCATCTTTTATGCGGGCGGAACGGCAGCTGTCTCAACAGCTCTCGTACTGGTGGCCCGACTGAGAATGGATGCTAGCCTGATCAAGAAGTATTAGTTTTTCTTCCACTGAACTCACACTACAAGGGGCAGTTATATATATGTTTAGCATCTATCACGTTTCAACTTGGGAAGTGGTTGCAAACTTGGTATTTGGGTCAAGTGTGCTAGTTTGCTGCCCGCTTTGAGGGGTCTTGTGAACAATCAATATTGTTCCAATGTTTGGCTGTTTTCGATGCATTGAATGGAGCTGTAAATGATTGCAGCATGACCTAGGCTCGATAATGCGAATACCCTCTTCAAAATTCGGAACAATGCGACTCTAGTAGCTTTCAATACAGAATGAGTATTCTCTGATGTTGTCTGTTCCCTTTGAGCCTTGACCCAGATAGTATTACAGGATGATTCTTCTATTGGAGCGCAGCCATCTACAGTGGCATGTTGGTCCCGTCCCAGAACAACGTCCCCGATGTATGGAGCCAGAACACAAGAGCAAATAATGCGAATCTATACTGAGGAAGCCTGAGAGACAACTGAATGCATGATGGCGTATACTTCAACGCAGGTATTTCATTAAACCCAAACAAACACTCATACATATAGACTACTGCCTTGCAAAACATTAACTGGCCGAGTAGCGCCTCCATATCCATCAACAACAGAGCAACTTATTGCACTGCGAACTTTGACCTCCCACGTATTTTCTTTCCATATATCCAAAACAACAACGGCGATGGAATCCCGATGACAACACTGACAAATCCCAATACACTGTTCCCCCATCCATAATGCAACGAGTCATACATATATGGGGCGAAAAGGGGGATCCCAAATGCCGCCATATTCCTCAGTAGCACAGCTACTGCAAGGCCACTCGCTGCATACTTCCCGTAACTATCAATGACATAGGCCTGCATGGACTGCATACAAGTGATCGATCCCAAGGAGAATATGAAACTTCCTATATTGGGCATAATCCAATGCGTATGTGCCTGCACACTCCACCCGTACCAAAACATCCCAATCGGAATCAGGACAGAGCCGACGAACATAGGCGGGACCCGGAATTCAGGTTCCCCTTTTGAGTTGACCTGCAGGTCATTGGTATTTCTGCGCGCTTGGAGGCGACGGTATATTACGTCGCTACTGTAGGCATTTATCTGGGAGCCGAGTACATAACTAAGACTAAGAGAGATATAGTTTAGGCCACCAATGCCGGGACTCTCGCCGTATTCCTGTGTCCATACTTTGGGATATGTAGAGAGAAGGATGTATAGGACACCGAAGACCACGGCCATGTAAATGCCGACTACCGTAACGATCGGCTCCGTAATAAAGAGTTGTAATGGACGAAGGGATGCTAGTCGTAATCGTGTTACCAGAAACTCACCAGCATTGCTGTCAGTGGTAGCTTCGCGGGATTCATGGCGTTGTCTCTGTTTGAGTAGGGCAGGTGTATATGTCTCGCGTAGGAAGACGAAACCAACCACTCCGGCAGCACCTGCGGCCATGCTTGTGGAATAAAACATCCATCGCCATGTTGTACGCTCAGTAATCCAACCGCCAGCAAGGGGCCCAATAACAGGACCCAAAGGAGGCGCAAGGCTATAGATACCGACCGCCTGTCCACGTTCTTCTGGAGCCCAGAGGTCGCTGTACTACATTAGTCGATAAAGATAAGATGAATCGTAATTGAAAGTACCTGATTACACCTCCACCCATGGCCAATGGTGCACTTCCCCCAATTCCTGCGAGAAATCTAAAAGCAATCAATTCTGCCTTGTTTCTTGCTAGTCCACAACCGAGAGTCCAGGCCAAAAAGAACACGTTTGATCCTAGAAGAACCGGCAACCGTCCAATGGTTTCAGATAAGGGGCCGAGAAGTAATGGCCCGATAGCGTATGCAAGCATGAAGATCGTGAGTGTGAGTTGCGAGACCACGGCATCTATAATACCGAGATCCGCCGCCATGGTCGCGAGGGCCGGTGCAACCATTGTTGATGAGACTGGCGGGATCAGGGTGAAGCATGAAACAATGATTGTGATAACCCACTTCTGGCGCCTGGGCCAGGTCAGGGGCTTTGTTGAATCAAACTCTGGTGCTGTGTTCTGCCGACAATGCCTCTTAGTATGTTACGTCTCCCTCGATTGAGAGGGAGTCAATCAACATCTAACCACTACTTACAGCTGTGAAATGAGTCTGGGCATTTGATTGATCTTGTGTATGTCCTGGACTCTCTGTCCGTGCCGTAGAAGTAAGATTCTCATTCTCGTAAAGATTTGGTTGTGTCGGGAGATGCTGATGTCCTCCATGGTGCTCTGTAGAAGCCATAGAAAAGAATACCGAATAGTAATAATCTAGGGAGTCAAGACCTAGAGATACATAATTTGAGCCAGTGAAGGTTCTCACAATTTGTTCTCTACTTGTAGATAGACTATGGCAACTGCTATTCTACATTTCATCATCCTATTTGCCCGACAAGGAAGCTACTCGACGAAAACACAGAGATATTGGAGACAACGCGGGAGGGTTGGAGAGTTGGAGTAGCGGAGGGGAGGCGTTGGGGTAATATGAGGCAGTGACTATAGGAATGCCAGCTTTGGTTTCTTCTAAAAAGACCGACGGGTGTGGTCTTATGGCTATATGTACCTGAATAACGCTGTTATGTTTCTATGTAAATGTATCTTGGCTTGAATATCGACTCAGCCAGGAAGCCGCAGTCCAAACTTCGTGCACATTCCTAAGCAACTTATCTATGGAGTAACTAGTTATTCTTCAGGTTACTATCAACATAGGTTAATGAGATGGTTACTCAGCCCTAATACATCACATAGTAAGTCGTATCAATTCATTAACTATCATCGCAACGCATAATATCCACAAAACGTGCTTTCAAGCATCTTTCAAGAGCTGTCTGAACCACCCAACAACCGCGTTCTTTCCTCTCTCCATCGCCGCTCTCTCCCCAGGCTTATTCTCATCACCGCGTATAAAACAGGCATGCACGACTCCCGGGAAATGCTGATAGTCGAACGGCACATTCAAGCGCTGCAGGGTCTCAAACGTATATAATTTCAGCTCCACCGGATACGCCTGATCAATCTCCGGCGCAAGCATCTGCACAGGGACATCCACTTCATCGATATCCTTTTTCGTAAGCAGAGACGGATGACCGACGGCGATACAATCCACCAACGGCGCAGATGCATGTTCCTTTGCGCCTAGGCGAAACGACGCCCATCCCCCATAGCAATATCCCACGGCGCCGACTTTCTTATACCCAAGTTCCTGTCTTAGAGCACGCGCACTGGCGAAGATCTCCGGCTCGCGCTGCTCCCGGCCATTTCGTGCAATAAACCCCGGCAGGTCGATCTGGTCGAATTTCTCCGCGGAAATGAGGTCGAAGTCTAGGACCTCCCCGCCGAAAAAGTCCGGCACGAAGACGGTTGCGCCGACTTCGCGGGCGAAGTGGTCTGCAAGGAGACGGACATTGGGGAATGTCCAACCGAAGAGGTCGGCGATGAACAGGATCGCCACGTCTGGGTTATCCCCCGTGATGTAGACGTCGTTGTTGGAGAGTTTGTCGGTGCGGCCGGTGGGTGTGCCTTGCCAGGAGAAGCCTTGGATGCAGCACTTGGAGAAGGACATTCTGGTTTACTGTGTCGACGAGCGGGCTTGTACTCTACTTTGCTTGATCTGGTTGCTGAGCCTTTGTCGGAAGGTTTTGGTTTACGTCGACAGTGACAGCTTTATAAGCCATGGCGGACGTAAGCTTCCTTATCTCCGCCTGATCGTCGCACGCTATATTCCTTCCGATGACGAGGCCTTAACAATTCAGTCGGTTAATCCCGGAAAGCTGACAAATTATGTAGACAAGAAGACCTGGGGTAGACCATGCGGAATTGTGCCACCCATTTGGCGCCCAATGATGGAACTAATACAGCCTTATAGATGACGGTAAATGGCCTTTCAGACGGCCATCGATTGTTCAGTCCTAGTACTATTGAACGTCTCAAGATCTTCGCTATCCTTTAGGTCACCCAAAGTGTCTGACTAGTGCCTTTTATCTTCATATTCTCTCGCCGATAGTAAAGAGTCAAGCAGAAGGCCAGAACTGCAGCTAGCAAGCTCATGCCAGCATTGACACCATGGCCCAATCGGTATGCCGGGGCATCCTGGGCTCTATATATCCAGACTCCGATGATTTGCCCTGGGCCGGAGAAGGATATGTTTAGTGCGGTTGTTATCGACCGAGCTGTGGTAGTGTGAATATTGTCTCCTACCCAGGCGTTAAGTGAGGGTAGACCCCCAAAGGTCCCAGCGGTAGCAATGACGAGGAACGCATAGCGTGCAGTATAAGCCTTAACCGGAAGAGATGCTAGAAGATAATCAGCATTGCACCAATGAGATGAGGATAAATATGATAAATGATTCCCTATCCGCACTTACCTTGAATAGCGAAAGCAACAAACGCAACAAGCTGGGAGCCACATGCGATGGCTCCTCGACATTTCAACCTGTCTGAAAGCCACGCAAGCCCTAAAGTCACAACGTACGCAACAGCGTAGGGCGGAACGGTAAAGAGCTGTGCTTGGAGGTCTGTATAGCCCAGTCCCAGAATGATTGTCGGGGCAAACAAGGACAGCGACGCAACTCCGGCAGATATGGTTAGATATGTAAGGTAGTGAAGGTAGAGTCTTCCTGTTAGGAGGGTTTCCTTTGCGTCTTTCCAGTTAAGTTTGTCCTCCCTTCAAAGCTCGATCCACCACGTCAGCAAATCTTCATGTCTGGACTCTAGAGTGATTAGACAGCAAATCAAGCATCACTCACCCCGAGGAACCGTCACCTGCTAGACGAAGCGCTTGGAACTTTTTCTCTTCATCCGTGAGCCACCCTACTTTCTCGGGGTAGCTTGGCAGAAAAAGAAACACCAGTAGGCCAGCGGCAACTGGAAGAGAAAAACACCATTAATTGGCCTTTCCGGTACCGTAGAGAATGGACTTACTGGTGGGAACTCCTTCCACCAGGAAGAGCCATCGCCAGCCCTCCAACCCTCGAGCTCCATTCAGGTGCCCGACGCCATACGCGATTGCACTAATTGTTGTTAGGGATTGTCAACATACTGATCTTAAATGATTGTTCATACCCGCCAAAGGCACCTGATAGTGTGGCACTGCACATGAATACCGCGATTCGAGTGGCGCGTTCCGCGGGCTTGTACCAGAATGTGAAATAATAAATCATGCCTGACGCACGGAAGAAGAATTAGTGAAATGGGGAAAAATAGATGAAAGAGCGAAATGCCCCATATCAAATGGAATGAGAGAAGTCCATGCCTGGAAATGCACCGGCTTCCGCAGCCCCCAGGAGAAATCGGAGAGCTGCTAGTCCCGCAAAATTGTGCGTAAACCCGATGCCCAAGCAGAATGACCCAAAAGCAATGACAAGTAGACCAAGCCACCTAATTATGCGTTAGACAGTGGTATAAGATGGCGTCTCATTCGGGCGTATTTGAAAGCCTTACCTGCGCGGTTGAAATATTTTCAATGCCAGATTGCTCGGCGCTTCAAATACTGAATATGCCACGAGGAAAACCATCATTGCAATCGTGTATTGGTGGTTGGAGATGTTGTTGGTTTCCAAGAGGGTGTCATTTGTGGATGAATTGAGGATCTTCGCATTTCCTTAGACATGTCAGTAAGTTGAGGTCATGGCAGTCGATGGGCACCTACCAATGTTCGACCGGTCGAGATAGCATAAGAGATATATAATTGCAGTCGATGGTAGGAGCCGGCAATCGATTTTCCGAACAATCCTGGTCAATCGTAGGTCAGTCGATGTTTTCACTAACTAGAGGCGATCCTTCTAGTCCATAACTTACCTCCTTTCCAGGTCTGGGTCTATACTGGGAACATCCTCAAGTTCCTCAGCATGCTCACATTTGATGTCTCCATCGAGACTAGCTTCTACGTCGCTTGAAGGCATTGTTTTGCGTAGTGAAGTAGAAGCAGATTGATGTGGTGGAAGTTGAAGGGATTGGGTTTATATGGAATGGTTGGCCGTGCGACGGGTGGAATGCGAAGATAAAATGACAGCCCAGCCTGGAACTGTGGAATTCTTTGAGATTGACACCATGTCATTAAGCCTACAGTTTGCCATGTCTTCCCCACAAATCCAGGCCTACTGCAGACTTTGACCCTGTACAGGGCATATTTAACCGGGGAAGCAGAAGCCCAATTTAGGGAAAAGTTTAAAAAACAGGACGAGGGAACGCCACTGGCTGTGGATGTGTAAGGATTCGATTCTCAGTTGTATGATCAGCATCAACACCATGGTATCGGGGAGATATCCGATCAGCATAACGCTCTGAGTCTTGCGGGGTAGGGTTTGTCCAGCGAAAGCTGCAGGATGGCACGGTCCTCTCGCTGTATGTGGTTTGCGCATGGGGGGAGACATAACCACGTCACCAGTAGACACAGGGTACTACCAGATTGACTCTGACTAGAGCAACGGCTTGTTCTTGTTAGCTACCCAGGATATCATTTATGGGTGGCATTATTTATCCTTCGTCGGAGATTGTGGTGTACTCCCCGGTGTACTCATCCTAGGTTGGATATCACGTAGAGGATGCTAGGCAACCCCCGCTTCGGTCTCTGGGCAAATATGGCATCCCCGCAAGTGGGGTTTGATCTGGTCTAATCTTGACATCAGTTCCACTATTTTTGAAGCACCGCCGATGTGGGGTTATGACGAAAAGTACGAGCAGTGCGTGTTGAGCATTTACGCATCACATAAGACTGGCTAGGACTGCACTTTCTAAAGAAGTATTTCATCCCATTGTTCCTCGCAGAGCTACTTGACGACAGGCATCATGCATTTGAATGAGCCCAAACAAGCCACCCTTGACCGTGCCAGATCGCGAACGGTGATCATCACAGGAGCCGGGGGAGGTATCGGTGCGGCAACGGCCAAGGAGTTTAACAACCACGGTGCCAAAGTGGTCCTTGCAGATATACCAGCCCTCGAGAGCAATGCCCAAGAACTGATTGCTTCGTTCCCATATCCTGACAATGCTGTATTTATTGCAGTCGATATGCGGGACTGGCAGCAAATGCAACGTCTGTTCAAGCAAACAATTCAGACATTCGGTAGTCTGGACACCGTTGTGGCCAATGCCGGCGTGATGGAATCAGAACATGTTTTAGATATGGGGGACGTGGATAGCGAGGGAAACCTGCGCGAGTCACAAGAAGCATCGAGGGTCATTGATATTAATATCAAGGGAACTCTAAACAGTACGGACCACACACTTGATAATGTTACGGCTACTGACAGACTTCATTGCCGGACTTCTAGCATTGCGGCTCGCCATGCACCATATGCGATTATCATCCAACCTGAAGAAGGGCCAACCGTCGATCGTTCTAGTGGCATCTACATCGGGATACTTTGGAGGGACCGGGGTCGCAGCGTACATCGCTTCTAAGCACGCTGTGGTTGGACTATTGAGAGCATCCCAACTAGCTGCAAAACGGTATAACATTTCCATCGCCGCCATCGCTCCCTTCTTCACACCAACAGCGATAACCTCCGGCCTAACCGAGCGCTGGAAGGCGGCTGGATTAGAAGCAAACACGCCAGAGATGGTGGGCAGGGTCATATTTCAGTCTGCTTTAGATAACAACAACAGTGGCAGTTGCTTATTGGGACGTATTAACCCAGCCACATTTCATTGGAATAATGCCGGACTTAACTAACTGTGAGCAGGTTGCTGGAAGGTTTCTGCGCGAGCTAGAGCTGACCAGGGGGGATTTGATCCCAGAGTGGCTAGGAGGGGATGTGAAGGAGTTCATGGACAGAGCGTTTAATGTAATTCAGGATACAGGCGGCTATCAACTGCCAAAGATCAGGTCCAAAGTGTGAAGGATATACGAAAATGAGATATCCGTGGTTTGGACCCTTGATGCGCCAATACTCTCCTCCCTCAGATTCTGCATGATAAACTAGCTAGCACAATGATGGCAGCTTCGAGTCATTGAGAATCTGACAATGTGTGAGACACAGACCATAGACGACTTTCTGCGAGATCTATTAAAGTTACGATGTGCATCCAATAAGCCGAACAATATTTCTCGTCCCGGGTATAAATAGCACACCCATGGTTGCAAACTCGTAGATTGGATTCGATCTGTATCATTCCCATTTTGCCTACATTGATGTATCTATCTGTATTGCCTCTGTAAGTCTATCCAACATAGGCAGTTTCAGAGCCAACATCACAAGCAACCATGGTGGTGTAGGTATCAAAGAGTCCGGAGAAGCTCCGAAGCCCAGAAATATGTCACATACAGTCTTCCACGATGACCGATGGAAAAGCATTGGAGAAAGTATATTCCATGTTTTAGCTAACCATCAAGCCTAGTAGATGCATTCTTTTACCTGCAGAGGCTCGGACCCTGGCGCGGACAATCCAAACAACTCCGGTTGATGTTCAACATGAAGGGAAATCAACCCCGCAGCGCTATTCGGACACTTGCCCGAGAGTGACGCCAGACCCATTGCCTCTGGTACGTATATCACTTATAACTATAAATTAATACTGACTGCTACACACCACCATTTCAAGGAACACCGCATTTATCTGGACTCTGCTGATTTTGCTCTGTCACAGCAAGCAAATCCCTGCACTATCCAGGAATTGTATAACTTTCAGCAGCAAACCGGGCCTCCTCAATCTCAAAATATGGCCACATTTCCAAAATACCCAGACCTCCATGGTAAAGTTGCCTTAATCATGGGAGCCGGCCAAACCCACGTCCCGGGCTCGGAAGCATGGGGCAATGGAGCAGCAATCGCTCGATGCCTGGCCCTAAACGGCGTCCAGGTTTTCGGCTGCGACGTGAATCTCCAGGCGGCAGAGCGTACCGCTTCACGAATCCAAGCCGAAGGCGGGAAGTGTGATATTGCCCAAGCCGATGTGACATCTGAAAAGGACGTGAGGAGAGTGGTGGACACCGTGATGGCAAAGTATGGCCGAATCGATATCTTGATCAACAACGTGGGCGCCACAGTAGCCGGTGACCCAGCCAGCATGTCCCCCGATGTCTGGGACAAACAAATTGACCTCAACCTGAAGACTGTCTACCTAGCGTGCCATGTGGTGCTCCCAATAATGGAAAAGCAAGGATCGGGATGCGTGGTCAACAACGCCTCCATTGCGGGCTTGAGGTATATTGGGAAGCCACAGGTCGCGTATTCTGCGGCAAAGGCTGCGGTAATCCAGTTTACGAAGGTCACGGCAGTCATGTACGCACCAAAAGGTGTTCGATTGAACTCGGTAGTACCGGGTTTCATTCACACCCCTTTGGTGGATAACTTCAAATTCAGCGGGCAGCAAGAGGTTTATGACAAGATTACCCGGCAACCCGTCCCTTTGGGGCGCATGGGGGACGCGTTCGATATAGCCAACTCTACAGTATTTCTGGCCAGCGACGCGGCTAAATATATCACTGGACAGATATTGGTTGTGGATGGTGGATTTACAAGCTCCGCTGCGTCACTATAATGCATACCAACATTTGCTGTCCTTCATCACCATGGTGTCTTAAGTGTAGCGAAAACAGACAAAGCAGAAGCGAGGGCTTTCTTTCCGCTGAAAGAAACAGTTGGTAATAAATGAACAAAAGCAGACGGCGTGAGGGGGGCAGGGATCAATGTGGATGAAATAGCACTATGCAAAACAGCTTCACCCAAAACCCAGCATAAAATCTCCTGCCAAATTAACAATTAACCCCACTTGCGACAGGCATATGTGGCAAATGCCCACCCTAGAGCTATAATACGGCGTTTTATGGTGATACTATCACTGATATCATTTTACTTGAAGTGATGCCCTATTTTTGACTCCAGCCGAGCCCTAGTAAACCCATGTCCATCATCCGGTTTAGAGATGTATTGCGTATTGCAATGGATATATAGCCTATAAATTTGCTTGAAATAGCCGAATCCCGTAGTTTAAATGTGTGGGGAAAGTGTTTCGGCAGTTGGGCTGTGCGCATTGACCGGCACTAGCTGTAACTATCAATGGGTCTAGAGTAGATATAGAACGATAGCGCGGGACGACCTCCAACCACTTCATGTAGTTGATGTGGGCCTGGAGCGAAGGATTCTCGCTACCATGATTGAATATTGTTCAATATGAGTGCTGGTAATAGCCATGTGGACCGTGAATTGTGCATGCATTATAGACTGCCGCCCCCGCTCTCCTCTGCAGAGTTCAGGATTATAAGACAGATCTGAGATTACTGCTGGATAGGTCAGACTCTGCCATCATGCCGTCGTTCGAAGAAACCGTTAATTCGCTCCGCCATCAATCGGGGGAGGACAAGCAGCCCCTCCCACGGGTTACGTTGGGTGCCATTAACAGAGATGGTATGTAAACTGTGAAGCTTGTATAATCCGCATTTCACATCTGCTAATCATCGTATCCATGACAAAGGCTCCTTTCACTACGCGAAGGCGTTTGGGGAAGACTCTACCGATACACCGAACACTGATGCCGTACATTGGATCGCGTCTTGCACAAAGTTTCTGACCACTGTTGCTGTGATGCAGTGTGTAGAAAGGGGACAACTAGACCTAGATGAAGACATAGCTAAAGTGTTGCCGGAGTGGGCAGATGCCCAGATATTGACGGGCTTTAATGAGAAGGATGAACCCATCTTTCGCCCGGCCACCAAGACTATCACCCTTCGGCAAGTCGTTCGCATACTGCGTTAGCGCCGAATCATAGATTTTTCTTCATATACTAATGGCTCCCAGGCACATGTTGACTCACTCTAGTGGCATGGCATATGTATTCATGCACCCGCTCCTGGCTCGCTACCAAGAGCTGCAGGGCGAACGGCCACTTATCCAGCAAACTGTGGTCAGTAGACCGGTCACATCCTAAGCGCCACAGCTAATCTCATATGTAGAAAGAGTCCTATCACCCTTTCCTGTTGTTCGAACCTGGCGAGCGCTGGCTGTACTCGCCAAGCGTCGACTGGGCAGGGGTCGCGGTAGGCTCTGATTCTTCTGACTTATGAGGGGGTTTGTGACTGACGACATGAGATCCAAAGGTCGAGCGGGTCACTTCCATGAAGCTTGGGGATTACATGAAGCACCATATATTTGACATCGTTTCCGCCAAAGACGTTACCTTTCATCTTGACCAACGAGAGGACCTTCGCGCGCGGAAGGCTAAGAACTGGGAAAGAGTAGGCCAGAGGCTGGAAGAGGAAAGGAGCCCAGTATGGCCCGACCCAATTGCAGAGGACCAAGGTGGTGGTGGTCTCTACGCAACAGTCAACGAGATGCTCAAGATCTACCAGGCATTCTCACCGGGAAGCTGCTCCGGCCTGAAACTATCAAGCTCATGTTCCAGCCCCATTTGGGAAGTAACAGTGGCCTTGACAAACCAGATGAGTATCCATTGCCGGTGCAAAATGCAATCTGGAATGCTGTGCCGCATGACGTGCCTGTCAGCTTTGGGCTAGGTGGTCTTGTTAACACCGCTGCAGTTCCTGAGCAACGTGGGCTGCACTCACTCACCTGGTCCGGTATACCGAATTGCTATTGGGTGAGTCATTCCATTCCAGAATGAAGATTTTAGCTCACTCTTTGATTACTTTAGTGGATCGACATTAACAATGGCGTCGCTGGTATATATCTCTCTCAGCTTGTACCGATGGGGGATCAGAAGTCTGTGGAGCTGCTTACAGAGTTCGAAAAGTTTGTGTACTCGTCGTTGAACTAAGTTCAGTTCACAGGTGTACAAGCCCACTCGCACTAGTAATAATCTAAATATACCTTCTTATATTCCTATGAGACCCCAGGTTTAACATAATGATAACCTTCATACAGCGAGAATCTTCAAAGGATTCCGCCATGTTCACCTCCTGGCATCAGGAACTGAGTTTGTGGATATTTATGCTAACTACGATCAAGTAGCCTCCGTAGGAGTCAGTCCCCACGTTCTTATGAACACCTATAAGTAGAGATCTCAACGGCACCACACGTAACGGAATTATCCTCCGGGTTTCCCACGTTGCCCCAATTTGCAAAAAGCAATTTCCTTTTACTTTGCAGACTACTCTCATACTCCCCGAATAGGCCGACCACTTGCCTACGTCCACTGTTTTTATCATGCCTGGGTGTGCTGAATCCTCATTCACAAAGACTACCTCATGGCTGAGGGCGCTGATCAGTCCGATCGGTGTGTGACATCCAGGTCACATACGATATGTTGTGGGGCGTGATCGGGTTCGTATCGTTGGAGACAAGTGGACCCAGTTCCAAGGGGGACGAGGCAACCTTGTAATACGCATCACAGTTACCCTCGCCGCAATACTCGTATGTCATGATGTAGGAATCAGTTGATTCGACGTGGGCGACTGTTGTCATGCAGTTGAGCGAGCTAGCATCATGCCGATCCTATACCAGTACTTTGGAGAGCCCAGTACATACGACCACAGGGTGTGGAGAACAGGGCTTCCCGTCCGCTCAGCCGTACTTAAGCCACACGCCGGGAGGTTAGTAGTTGGGTGGGTGATCACCAGCGAATCCCTCCTGTTGTATGTTTTTTTATTTAGTAGCGATACTACAAAGATAACTAGTTATTTCGACCAAGTTGGAGTAGATAACAGAGGTTCACCGAAGACCTTGACCATAGGCATAGTATCCAGCGTGATTCGTATTTTATTAGTAGGTTCAAAATTCAGTCTGCCACGAGATTGAATGCAATAGACGATCATTACAGAGAAACATTACAACTGTATGGAGGAAGACTACGAACTGGCTATCCATTCGAATGATTGAAAACATGGAACTAAATCTTGATTAAACCGGTCCTCTCTATCCGAAAGATGGAAAAGTGTAACCTTGCTATCCGATAAGGAAGTGCAGTATTGCAACCACTGACGTCGTCTATAAGCCAGGCGAGAGAAAGCCAACTCACAGGTATTAGGATCGTTCTGCGATGCGCAACGTACGTCTTCATTCTCCGTCCCAAATCTGAAATGTCGGTCTACAAACACATAGAAATGAGACAGTCATTGCCACAGAGTGCGAGGACATACAACTGGGTCTCCCTGTGTATCTATGACTTCGTTGTTCATTATCTGGCAACGCGATTTGCTTGGCGCTGCCCGACTGATTCTGTCTTAATCCCTTTCTTCCGGGCGAATGCTGGTCCCCGTCATATGGATGTGGGTGTAGGCACCGGATACTTTCTGGCGGCGATGAAAGAAAGTCCTGGAGAAGATCCTGCACTGTCTTGGCCCCAGAAGCTTGTCCTTGTCGACCTGAACCCTACCTGTATCAAGAAAGCTGCCACCCGCATCGCCCTTCCGGATCGCACGGACTGCCTAGTTGCGGATGTATTGAAGCCACTCCCAGACAGTCTGGAGCTAGGGACATTTGACTCAATCTCAATAATGTTTCTGCTACACTGCCTCCCCGGTCCACCATCCAGGAAAGCTACAACCTTTGTGAACCTCAAGTCGCTGCTGAAGGAGCACGGGGTACTCTTTGGCACCACGGTTCTAGGAAAGAACATTCGATACAATTGGTTTGCGTCGCTGTTACTTTCAATTTACAATTTCTTCGGAGTATTTGACAACTACGGCGACGAAGCGAAGGATTTCACTAACCTTCTATCGCAAGAGTTTGACCATGTGGAAAGCGTGGTGGTAGGGTGTGTCTTGATTTTCAAAGCAACATCTCCCCGGAAGGCTTAATACTGTTGAACATGTTATTATATCACGAGCCTTCATCCTCTCGGTGGGCGAAGTCTATAAACAGCCGGGTGTACAAAACATGAGATTGGAAGATCACACGAAAGCAATAATATCCGACCAGCCCTAGAGTAGTTAAAGCAAGGTAATGGCTTTAATACCAAACATGCCTTCGAAAGTTCAGTGGATTGGAATAGTAAGGAACTGGTTATCACGAACAAGACATTTGGACGGGGATACAACATGGGAGAAATCTAAAAATATTTGCTTGTATGTTTGACACTCATGCATAGAAAGTCGGTGGTGCATCGACCCCGTAAGAGCTTTCCTCATTATAACTGTCAGCCTCCTGATACAGGGTTGCGAATTCTCCCACATGCAGACTACTAGATTCCATTTACCTCAATTACACGACCAATATGCCGATGAACCCTCAACTATCTATCAATGCGACACCTATATTTTACACAACGATAATCAAGACCAATCACCTTCATCAGCCACCGGCTCATGTCTATCTGAAGCGTCCATGAGCTCCTTCACAGTCCACGGCTTGTAGGTGTAGCCCGGAGGTACATTGGTGTTCTGGAAGGGAGCCCCAGTCAAGAGATGATTCGCACATTTGCCGTAGTTATCATAGGCGTATTGCTCTGGGTTATGGCGCATAATCCAGTCAGCAGTCGTCTTGCTAAAAATATCCGGATTCTTCGCTACTGCATCCCAATCGGTGTTATGGAATTTCTCCCGGTGGTGGAAACCCATTTTCTGGGCGCACGACACGCGTTCGAACCTGTGTATTCGTGGTAAGTATAAGACCATATTCCGTCTTTAACTCGCATTACTGCATACCTCAGATGATTATGAACTCGCACAGCCAAGGCGAAGTTGGACTTGCCGCCCAATTGCAAGCACGTTGCCAAAGAGTACGCGTCTTCCATGGCCATTGCCGCTCCACTGCCAGATGTTGGCAAGAAGGAGTGAGCAGAATCACCAAGCTGAATGACTCGAGCCTTAGGCGAGGCCCATTTCGGTTGAGGATTGCGCCACAACAACTTCCAGTCCGTACAACGGTTGTTGGGAGTAGCTTTGATCAGCTCAGTCAGAAAGGGTTCCCATCCTTCAATGTATGTCAAAGCCTTCTCAGTAGAGACAGTTTTATCCCAGTCTTCCTCCGCATTGTGATCATCCTGCGGTTATAGAATGGTCAGCCTACCGGCAGCATACATGCATCTCTGAGATCTAATCCGACATACCCTATGTGTCAGCATGTAGCAAATCTGCCTTGACGTCTTTCCCACGGCCACATGTGCCCCAGGGCCCGCATGAATCGAGGCACGATCGATGTAGCCTTCAAACTCTTTAGCAATAATCGGATTGTCGAGTGCTGGTCCAGCGGGAAAGGTCGCCCTGTAACAGGCAAATCCGGAGCTGATGGGAACGTCTTTCGTTCCCAAGACCAACGACCATGCCTTCGAACCGACGCCATCAGCAGCTACGACAATATCTGCCGTAAGCATGCTTCCATCGGCAAGGACCACGCCGCTTTCCACATCAGTTTCGAAGTAGTCTTCAACGGTAGTTGAAAAGTCCACTCGAATACCTAGCTCCTGGACATACTCCCATAATGCAGAGTGGAGCTCAGATCGGTTGAAGGCCATTGACAGGTCCTTTCCGTCCCCTAGTGGCCAAACTCCCACCCATGTCCCATCGTACTTCTTGACATTTCGCTGGGACTTGTACGAGATGGTTTGCAATCGTTCATAGAACCGTGGCCAGTTCTTGATGCTGTGAAGGGCGTTGCATTCTATCAACAGGAGATCGCCTGTTTTCATTGTTGCATTAGAACTTGGGTTTGTGAGGGCCAGGTTGGTACTCACCGTAGCCATCAAAGTTCGGGCGCTTCTCTATGATGCGGACATCATGGCCTTTACGATACGCCTCGATCGCAAAAGTGAGGCCACCAATGCCCCCTCCAGCAATGAGGATGGACAACCCGCTAGAGGGGTATTGCTCCCGAATGGTAGATGCCGCTGAGCTTTCCATTGCCGTTTAACAAACTGGCTGCGGTAGCTCAATCTATCGAATTGATATGCTGAATTGTTCGATGGCACGGATGAGCAGAACAGGGCTTTACAGCCTTTATATATTCCGTAGGAGGCAAAATCTGCACCGTGGTCCGCTCAGTGCTCGGAACTTGCTTCGTTCCGGAACGATATACCAAGCTGGATGAGACTATATTACTCGTAGCATTATAGGTCCTAATCATGTATTTGATACTATAGAGGTATACTGAGTGCGGATGTGATCTTCATGTGTGGGCCTTTGCGACTAGTGTGGCTGAGCTTTGATATGTAATTTATATCACGTTATCCAAAAATCAACAGATCCAGAGTTCCAGGCCTAAGAGTACAAGGTGATGATTGCCTTAGTCTATTTTATGTCGTATACAGCAGACAGGCTATTCTTACCAAAGGCCATTTTCGAGTTAAAGCATCCCAAGGTTGACAAGATTCAAGATGAACCTAGTATGTTATGGACTCCAAATGTTGGTTAACAGTGTATATATTGAACACTTCTAGGTTCTTTTCCGTGAAAAGCTAATACCATTTTATCAAATTTTATCATAGAGAAGGCTGCTATAGTCTATGGAGTAGGCAGAGTACGTGCATACAGCTCGATGGAGTTCGGAACTTCCTCACTTCCGCTGAGTCAGCGACATTGTCTTGGTTTTGAAGCCATTTATCAATTCATTCGACTGCTTGTTCAAAACTGTACAGTTTGTGGAGTATAGATCGTCTCATACCCGTCAGAAGATAATATTTCAAGAGCGGGGCATGGCCTGTGACATTGTATGTGACCTCCCTCAGAAACAGTTCTTGGGCCCATTAGGGTTTGACCTGCACCTTAACTCCCTTAGCCAAATATATACCTGGGCTTCCCTTCGATGACCCCGAGGTAAACTTGAAGTTTTTTTGGGACTATGTCTGCTTTTTATTTATTTTTTTTATTTTCTTTCTTTTCCCTTGCTTTTGTCTCTCGTTAGCACCACGAAATCCTAGTCAAATAGTTGCTGGGTATGGGGTAGAAAGACCGCTTGCATCAGTCTCCCTACCATTCTCCATAGGCCATAGTTCCTTGTATTATGCTACATTTGACAACATCAGGCTATCGTGACTGACTTGAAAGCGTCTAGAATAGCTCCTTCATATATATTGGAAAAAAGATACAACCCGTCGTGAAGGGGGACTACGGGGCAAGTCTTTGGGCGATTCTCAGCGACCGTCACTATTTACCACCTGTTATGACCACAACCACCATTTCCTACTAGGAAACATACCTCGGTCCCGTGGATCTCCTAATCTATTCAACCCATTTACAATGCCTGAGAGCAGGTGTATCACTAGTCCGTCACGTGTCGACCCCGCTACCACAGTCTAGGTCTGCTCCTCCCAAGTTCCTGTCCACAATCATCCTCTTGCTGAATAACCATATAATTGTTAATATGTCGTTTCCCATCGATGCTGAAGGGACCAACCCTTTCAGCATAAGCCCAGACAGAACCCCTTTAGTCCTGGATGAGTCGACACGCAGCCTGTACAACCGCGCCATATCCAACCCCTCCTCATTAACGGATCAAGAACGCCGACTCATCACCCACCGCAGCCCACCAGACGAGGAAGACACCCTCTGTCAAAATGCCTGCGGCTTGTCCATGGGCGAGCTAGTTACCAAAGCCATCAATAGCAGCAACAACGGCGGTAATGACAGTGATGGCTTCTCCCTTAGAAGCCTCGCCCTGAGCTATAAAGAAGCCAGTCTCTTAACGGCCGGCGTAGTCAAGGGATAACCAGGCCGTATCCTGTCCGAGGTGGCGCGCCTTTCTCCTGAAGATCGGGACCTTAAGGCTCGAGCTATAGAAGCGGCGAGGACGGACGATATTCGGGCTGCTAGAAAGGTGGCGCAGACAGTTCAGCAGCGATGGCGAGAGGTGGAGCTGGCGGCGGCCAAGGCGCTCAACGATGATGACACTAGGAATATTCGGTTTGCAATGAAGGTTCCTTGGCAGGAGCATGTATTGCAATCCGTTTCAGCCCCCGCGCGTGATTCTGGTTCTGGTTCTGACTTTGGTCCTGGTGGTCAGGGCCTGGTGAAGCAGGTGGTCGCTTTGGTCTCGTGGTATTCTTCCCGAAAGAAGAAGAGGAAGGAGGCCGCCTCCCAGAATATAAATCCTTGATCGGAACTGCTGTTTACCACGGACTACACTATTCACCAACGCTGATTAAAGACGAGACGAGAGACCGATTCACATTGCACTGGGCGGCTGTTCCAGGCAGTAATAACAGCATGGACCCGAGTGCCTTACGGAGCAGCTTCAGCACAATGCTCTCAAATGACCAGATTCCTGCTGGCTTTCGAAGTGATGTTTTTCTCTACGTGGATGACGAGTCGTTCCGCTCGCGTGAAACGACACGGCCGTATCTCTGGTTAGCTGAGCCTGAACCCCAGTCCGAGTCAAAGACAGAGCGAGAGCCAGAGCCAGGAATTAAGACTGGAACCGGGACCGGAGTTGCAGCTGGAGCACAGCCCGAGGCTCTGCAACCCCTAAAAGTCGACATCAAGCATATCGCCCCGACATTGTTTGCGCGGTTAGTTCAGCGTGATCTCCAGGGCGAGGCAAGATGGAAGCCCTATCGGCATACCTCGGAGCTGACCAGGTTGCATGCGGCCGCCAATTCGAAATATAGAGAGGAAAAAGATGGGATTTGGCCGCCACCTGCTCGATTGCAGTAGTTGAAGCTACGCGAAGCTAGCTCATATTACGTTTGACAGGGTCAGGCTATCGTCACTGGCTAGCAAGCATCCATAGCTCCGTCATGGGGGGGTTGAAAAGCAGATTAGGGGATCTTCGTAGACCCTCGTCGGCAGTTGTCCTTCCATTCTAGCCGCGGATTAGTTTATTATTTCTGCAAAACGCGAAGACCTTTCGCTTTCCGGGTTTGAAAAGCGGAGAGGAGGAACCGGCGGTCCAGACTGCACCCGATGCTCTCCACATCCCGAACTAGACGCACCCTTTAGTTTACCTACTAGTAATTGTGGAGCCACACGGGGAAGACGTGCCTCTAGCAAACATCATTACTAGGTACAGCCAATTGTAGTGATTCTACTTATCAACTGGGTGGGGGGGCAGGACACACCTGCATGTTCATCTGGCTAATGAATGGTTTTTGTGTATTTGCTATGTATGCTGCTGTAGTACACGTTAGGCGTTCAACCAAGAACTAATAAATCAGCTGTGCCGCAGTTGATGAGCTGAGCGGACCTAAAGGCAATGCCTATGTGATGTTGATCTGTGCTGACTCGAACAGCTGGAACCAAAGCAGGAGGTTCGGCATGTGGGCACTATACCGGTGATTTGCTCGCCACCAAGTGAGGCAGGGCCTAGATTCGCATGAAAGACTTAAGTTGTATGTGGTGAAATTTTGAAGACGCAGCATCCACTTCGGGCTTCAGCAAGTGTGGATATATTCATCTCTTTGGCCGACCTTTGGAACGGAGACAAGTCTCAATGCATTCACTTCAGGCGATGTGTATGTATGTCTCAACGTCATCATCTTCCGAATGTTAAATCAAGTGAGGAAATATGCCGACAATCTATATCGGCATATTTATATGGTACAAGGACATCGTCGGGTTTGGGCATTGATTGTGGAGCCGAGTCCTCAAGGAAAGCCGAAATGTATACCCTATTCGTTCCCCGCAGATACTAGGCTAAGGGTCTTTGCACATTATGTATCCTACCGAACGAGTGCCCCTGTAAAATCTGGGGTAGCGGTGCCCCACTCGCGATCAAAGACTGGAGACCTTATATTAGCTTGTCGCGTCCTCATATAACCCAGCGGGTAGTCCTTACTTCACAAGACTCGGCGTCATTGATCTCGATATTCAAATACTCGTGTTACGCGTCATGAGTGGATTTCGGCACGCCTTTTCTATGACCCGAAAGGAGGTACAGGATGCGGTACCTCCTGGGACTATCTCTCTATCAAGTGAGTACCTTAGACACCACAGCATGACAGATGGCTTCGAAAGTCTGAACTCTGGCTAATAGTAACCGGTTTCCTCTATTCCAGTTTATGCCCAAGAATCTGCGGGTAGAACACATCTCAAACATAATGGCGAACTAGTTCTGTCTCCTCAACCGTCGGAAGACCCGCTGGATCCGTTGAATTGGCCTACTTGGCGCAAGTTCGCCGTCCTTCTTGTTATGTCACTGTATGCCGCCATTGGAAACTTTACTTCCGGTTCAATTGCCAGTGCGTTTCCCTTATATGCCACGCCGATGGCATTCAATCCGCCTGTGTCTATTGGGAGGCTAGGCCATCTCGTCGCGGTTCGTGCTCGACATGCGTACAATTCTCACTCTTCCTTGCCCTCTCTTTACTTTCGAGCTTTGTCCTTTCGATACGTGCTTGGATGCGATGGCTAAGCTGCATCAGGTTAATGTTCTTATGATGGGTGCTGCGAATATCCTGTGGGTGCCGTTAGCCAATACGTTTGGGCGACGACCCGTCAATCTATTCAACATTCTCCTTCTGCTGCTCTGCTGCGTATGGGCCGCACGCGCTACATCATTTGGAAGTCTTCTTGCTGCACGCTTTTTCATGGGAGTTGGTGTCGCTCCAGCTGACACGAGTAAGCACCTCTTGTGTTCCTCAATATGTAGTTCCAATGCTAATGATACTACTAGTTGCACCAAATGTTGTAGGTGAAATCTATTTTGCGCATCAGCGAGGAAAGGCAATGGTAGGACACCATTCCCGTACGGGACACTATGGCTGGAACTTTTCAAGGCTTACTTTATACTTTTTAGGGTTTTTATACAGTTTTCATTTGCATAGGCCCCGTCCTGGGCGGCATCGCCGGTGGTTACATTGGGGGAAATCTCGGTCTGGCATGGATCCATTGGGTTAATGTGATTCTCTGCGGTATTCTGCTCGTCGCCTGCTTCTTCCTCGTCCCGGAGACGCTCTACGCTCGTGAAACCATAGTTCGACCCATAGACCCTTCGTTAGACGAAGATGGGAAAGGTGAGGACGGAACAAGCTCCGTCAAAATTGAAGATATTGCACAGAATCGTGTTTATTCGGAGCTTACGTTTATCCGCTCACTCAAGCTGTACACCTACCACGGAAACCTTCTTCAGAACTTCATTGCGCCTTGGTTGACACTGCGTCTTCCCGGGGTATGGCTAGTGATGTTCTGGTATGCAGGACTCGTCGGTGGGATTGTGACAATCTCGACAGTAGGCCCAACGCTCGCCGCCAAGCCGCCATATCTATGGGGCAACAATGCTGGCCTCATCTTGGTCGGCGGTATTGTGGGAGCATTACTCGGGGCAGTGGTCACGGCGCTCTCCGCAGATCGAATTGTTACTACGAAAAAGACATTACGGGGAGAGGAAAACATGGAGCCTGAATCCCGTTTGCCCGTTGCGCTTCCGGGTCTGATTCTAGCAACAACAGGCTTGTGGACCTTCGGCTTCTGTGCACAGAGTCCTAATCCACATATGTGGATCGGGATGCAGTTTGGCCTAGGAATGCTATCTTTTGGGCTCATGCAGGCACCGTCTATTGGTTTCAATTATGTATGATCTCACATTCTCTCACATGTTTGAATGGTTCTTTTTGGAACTAACTGATCATCTCTTACTCAGCTTATCGACTCCTATGGCAGCCTTTCGGCGGATTGTTTTGTTGTCGTGACGTGCATGCGAGCGATCATCAGCTTCTGTTGGACATTCTTCGCGAGTCAATGGGTTGACAGTGCTGGTCCTGCCATTCCATTCGGTGTCTTCGGAGGTTTAATGGGGCTCTTCACTTTGTTCACAATCCCACAGTGGCTGTGGGGGAAGAGGACGAGAATTGCTACAGCCCGCTGGATACCAAAGTGAACTTCATCGGAATAGGGACTTCCTCGTTGGCTCCCAAGGAGCCTGTCATAAAGTGGTATCTATATGTCAGACCTTAGCTTCCTGGATTACGACCGGTTGTTTCCAGCCATAACTGTGAAATCTCGCTTCTGCACATGTTATCACATCTAAATTATATATGGAGTCCTCACATTGTACTCGTTATGTTAATTGATTATAGTCTGACGCTGTAGGCTGACATGAACAGAATGCGATCTTATATGGACGAGACCGGGACATCACTTCACACTATCCTTAATTTTCTCATTACAACAAATGATACGTGACAAACTTAACTAATACAGCTGATATAGAAAAGATCGAAATCTCCCTCCTCTATACGCGGGAGACGTACATTTAAAGAGGCAATTACTAATTGCAATAAGGAAAAAAGTAGGTACATTAGGTTATTAGAGAAAAAAAATAGTGTCATGCAACCGACTATTGTTGTCTTGCTCATACTATTGGGAATCTGTAAACATACGATGAGAGCAGATCCATTCCGCAAGCCTGAAGCTTTCCACTACATGGGTTAAAGCAATAGTAGTTTCATCTCAAATATACTTCACTGCAGAGTCAGTGTGGGCAGCTACAGAGTATTAAGCTCTCAAATCTCGCAAGTACACGTGGGCAATATCAGCCTTGAAGCTATCTTGTTATACTACCCATCCACGGATGGCCTCAGCCCATAAACATAGTAAATCCGTTACTGACCGACAAATATCCACAAAGGTCTTTCACGGCCAATATCAGCATATCGCAGCGCCCTAGATCTGCCGAAATAAACCAATGCCGGTTGATTAGGGGCTCCTCATTGAATGATTCATGAAGATCGGATTTCGACCCGACAGCCATCCGCAGCAGAAAGAACAAGGGTGAGGCGTTGTCTTTCACTTCCAACAGGCTCTACTACCTCTCCAGCAGGCAGCCCTATGTTGGGAAATGTCTGCAATAACACAATGGCTGTGAATTTGATCTGATTCAGAGCAAAGTCTCTCCCCAAGCACTGTCTTGGTCCGCCATTGAAGGGAAAATATGCCCATCCAATCTGGCCCAGCTCGCCGGTTTCCCACCATTCTGGGCAGAAGACGTCCGCATCAGGCCCATAGATGCTTCTCTTTCGCGAACTGACATATTGTGAAAAGACGACTAGCTCCCCTTTCCTCACGAGAATGGGACTGTGCCCGTTCTCGCCGCCCCCAGTTGGTAAGATGGTTGTCTGTTTAGCTTCGCGATTATTCAAAGGAACGGATGGGTAAAGGCGTAACGCTGGGTGTCTTTAGCAGACGGAGTGATTCTTAGGGCGGCAAACTGACTCTCTCTGATAACACAGTTAAGGTATGGCATGCGCCCCATCTGGTCTCTCGAGGGGTATTGAGACTGTCCCATATTAGAAGATACTTCATCTCGCAAACGATACATTACGTGTTCATGTCGGATAATTAGGCGTCTGGGTGCTATTCAGTAAGGTTTTAAACAAAGTTGCAACTGCCAGGTACGTACAGCATCCATGAGAGGCAGCAAGCCGTGGTGTCTCTTCCAGTCCAAAGCACATTAAGTAATTGATCACGGAGGTCTGCTTTGCTTATAGACTCCTGGGCAAGCTGTTTAATGAAACTTCGGGCCTCATCATTTAATGCGTCAGGAAGGTCCAGCTCCAAGCCATCAATATAATGCTCCACAAATCGGTGGACATTAGCACAGGCTCTTCGAAATTTTGGTGGATTGTATAACCAATGGAATGGAGCTAGGCGAAATTGCTTAGCCAGGCCTTCTTGGGCAATGTTAAAACTTTCAGTAAATAGCTTGTTGTCCCAATCTTGGTTAATGTCTGCCTTTAAACTGTACACTGATTTCCCGAATAGAAGTGAAGTTGTTATGTCAAGCGTCAGGTCGAAGAATAGTGGCTGAAGGTCGACCACCGCGTTCAATGGCACTCGGGCTATTGGATTATCAACATGCTCGTGGAGATGCTCCATGCTTCGACTCTTGATTCGAGAGAATTGTCTGCCAAGAAGATCCCTCGAACGTCTCCATGCCGGCCCTTCTTGGGTAAAAATGCCATTACCTAGTAACGGCGCAAAGACTTCCCGCCGTGCACCTAAGCCGTAGTCTACGTAAAATGAGTATCGTATCCTCAGATTGGCTGTCTAGAGGGTCTTTTGTACCTTCGGATTTGGTGGAGAGAATTGCCTCTACATTCTCTGGTCGCAGAACATGAAATGCCCGCGGTCCTAGCAATAAATATTGCGACAAGCTATTTCCGGGCTCGTATTCCTCGGCTACGGAGCATAGAAATGCAAGGAGCCGGCCTTCTGCATTTGACGTCCATAGTTGCTTTATACGATCAAGGCCAAGCGGCCATCTTGTGGGAAGCTCGGGCGGAGGTTCGCAATTATGCTGGTGCGCGAGAATCGCGTCTTTCTGCTACCAGTCATTGGATTTGTCTTCGATTCTTCTGTATTCTTGATTGACTTGCCTGATATTCCCGGTATAATGAGACCAGGAAGCAATACAATGCACGGCCAGCAGACAGTCCAATTAAGAAATAGATGACGGTTGGAAAGTCCATTTTGAAATGGAATGGGATCATCCCAAGCCTAGCCCCTTGAAGTCATGACGGTGTTGCCGCATTTTAATTATAATTATGTCCCTAAGTGCACAAAGAAGTCTCTGGCAGATGCAGATTTATCAGTGTAAGACTTGAGAGTCTCGTGTCAAGCCCGGATTTTCCAATTCCTTTCAATAGGAAATTAAGTTCACTATTTTCTTTCACTGGTGGCGGTCGCACATATTTCAATGGGATATAAGCACTAAACAAGTCTGGCTGTACTAAAGGGCCTGTTACAAAGAAGCTACGACAGCCTTGTTAATCCGTAGTGACAGCTGAGTGGCTAGGCCGCCAGATGAGCCATTAAATGATACATCTGTTTTTCCACCATCAGCCAATGTCCCACCAGACGACAAATGCCAGCCAACCATAAAGGTTACTGGGAACACGCTATACGATTGGAGTGCGTGCTCGGCAGGATCAGGGGGCTCGACGCGGGGAGTAGCTCCACCCAGATGGTAAAGCTACTACTGCTCTTTACTCTTCGAAAGATCGTTTCTACGCCTAGTCACCATATGTCGAAGCTGCAGCAAAGCAACGGTAGGGTTGTTCAATCCTAGGTATTAATCTTTCTTTATTCTATTCTTAGTCGTTTTACCTTTGAATTTACCCCGGTGGTTTTTGGTAAGCCATGCCGTAATATTAAATATGATCTGGTAGGGCTCTTTGGTTCATAGGACTTCCATTATTGGCCTGAGACAATCGACGTGCTTTGGGAGCTATGGTAGACCTGAGCTGCTTGCTACAGCAAGTTAAGAAATGTCCCTACTTCACATGGTTTCCTGGCCTTTATAATATGATGCATCCTTATAGAGTTGGTGGGCATATTGCATACCATGTCCTATATGTCTCTGAAAGGGGGGAATTGAACTGTTCTACAATATATATCCCTATCGTCTATGGATCACCGGATATCTACTCCGGAGTACGCGCGAAATATGGCAGCGATGTAACTCCATCGCCGTTTGCAGTAATGTCGGCTTAGGGCTGTTCCTGGAACGTTACAACCACTGCACGTGACCTTGATACACTCAGCAAAACTTGGCCAATGTCCAATGAACCAGAGGGGTTGCATGATTTTAAAATATAACTCCCGTGGTGGAAGGTTACTTAGGTGGGAAATCTTCTGATTTTTCTGTTATATGGTGCGAAAGGGTAGCAACCAAAGATTTTCTCATTTAATATGCTGCCAGCTCTAGCCGTCCTTCCACGACCACAGGCCTAAACACACCGTCGGATATCTCTCACTTTTTTCAAATACAAAAATGCCGAACTGGATCCTTGGGGATAAATTCGATACTGTCTATCCACATAAGGGCTCTATCAAGACCCTGTGGGAAACGCGTTGGAAGTTTGCCGTGAGTCGTTCGCTCATCGCGCTGCGATCGACTGAAATTGACTAACAGTACATTAAAGTGCCAAAAAGGAGTTTATCCTTTTCACGATGGATCCTATGAGGATTTCGAACCAATATTCCAGAAGCTAATCTCAGTTTGTCATCAAAGGCTGGCAACCCCTTGTCGAATTGTGTGGCGACTAACCAAAGATTTCTCAACAATAGGAAAACATCAATGATGCTAGCACGGATGAGTATACGTCTACATTCTTTTCTACTGCATCGAACTTAGAATCTCAAGCCTCGCAGGCCCTTGACTCTGGTAAAACCGACCTCGCAATCGACCTGTTCCGACGTGCCGCGGTGGTCTACCGTATCTCGCGATTCCCCTATGTCGACATAACTCAGCCGAACTCCATTAAGCGGACCGCATTCGAGCGCCAGAAACAGGTATATCTCAAGGCCGCGTCTCGATGGGATCCGCCGATCAAGGAGGTGATCATCCCACACAGAAGTCGCGGCGGAAATGATGGCCAAGCAATCCCGATCTACACGCGCGTACCGAGCAATGCTCGCCCCGATAGCCCCGTCCCGGTGGTCCTTATTATGACTGGACTAGACGGATACCGACCAGATAATAGCCAGCGGAGTCACGAGATCATTGGTCGCGGATGGGCTGTCGTCATCGCTGAGATCCCAGGTACAGCGGATTCCCCTGCCGATCCTGCGGACCCATCCTCTCCCGATCGGCTCTGGGATAGCGTGTTCGCATATATGGCAACGCAGCCGATGCTCGACATGAGTCAAGTTGTGGTCTGGGGACTCAGTGCGGGAGGTTTCTATGCCATCCGAGCTGCCCATACACACGCAACCCGACTACGTGGGGCTATTGCACATGGCGCGGGATGCCATTATTTTCTGGATGAAGAGTGGCTCAGGCGCGTTGACGATCATGAGTATCCTTTCTCGTGGGTCGTTCCTTTCCTTTAATAGTGAGTATAAGCAGTTAATTCTATGCAGAATCATGTCAGGATGGACAAAGAAATACGGCTACGACGATACCGATGTCTTTGTGCGAGAGGCACGAAAGAAGTTCTCTCTGGTGGACACCGGTATTGTCGATCGTCCTAGTTGCCGGTTGCTGTTGTTAAATGTATTCACCTGCTCTCCTTGTATGAATTGAATGTGGCGTATCTGACGAATATATAGGGTGTCGACGACGGTCTCACGCCAATTGAAGACTCTTTGCTTCTTTTCAACCATGGCAGTGCTAAGGAGGGAAGGTACGGCAGGATATGAACCACAATCTTGGTTGAAGTCGCCGCTAATCAGTACACAGGTTCTTTCAAGGCTTACCGCATATGGGGTACCCCAACAGCTTGCCTGTCGCTTACAAATGGCTGGAAGATCTTCTGCCTTGTGAGCCGAAGCAGAAAAACTAAAGATTAGCTAAGCGTATTATTGTACTGTGGAAATGGTATTAAAAGTGACCAGAAGGTTAAAAGGCATGCTTGCCGGGGGCAGAGTTATAGGTAGTGTCAAAATGCACCATACTTAAAATAGCTGCAATTCACATTAATATACGTACGCCAACATTCATGCTCTGTTCTTCCAGGTTATTGATTTCTGTGGAATCTACGTTACTTTGTCCACCCTAGTTTATATCTAAATTTATAAGACCATAGATTATGGATATGAAATGATATCCAAACCCGCAATTTGCGGATATGGATTGCGGATCGTGCCGCAGTCTATCTAGATATAAATATTATAGGTCTTCAAACAGTTTTAAAATTTTGAAAAATATATAATAATTGCTATCTCACAAAATAGTAATTATATAGTAAATCTTAGGCTACCAATTCCAAAAAAAGTAATAAATAAAACCCAGATATCCTGATATAGAAAAATATATAACAATCGCCTAAATAGTATAAATATACATAGATATAATACAATTACTTTTATACTTACCTCACCTACTAAGTTACATGATACTTTCCTACACAGAAGTCATGGATATATCTTTAAGTATAGTTCCCTTGTATTCGGAGCTATTACAAAGCAAATACACGCAAATAGTCTACTCTCTCCATAATCTTTAATACTCTTCATAGGTATGAGTTATAATGGACTGGTAAAGACTGTACGCACCATAAAATCACCAAAGTGGCGAAACCACTACCGTGCCTGTGAATCTTCGTCTTTTCCCTCCCTAATAACTATACCGGAAATTGCAGTCAAAGGACTGGATTCATTTTTTTTCCCTGCGATTTCTTCCTGAATAATGCAAAAGTCACATTGATCGAGCTAGATCTTCAATGAACAGAAAACTAGGGAAAGTCAATTTCCATTTCTGCTGGGGATATATTCCCTAACATTCAAGAGAATCCTGGGTACATATGGTGCTATCCCAGTGATTCATATAGTATAAAGCAATACACCAGTACGCGTTTTGATAATCTCTACACGGATAGTTGTAGTATATATAATAAAGTAGAACTTAGAACCATTGTCCTGGTCCTCAGATACCTGTTAAATAACTCCACATAAATTAAACAGCCAAGGATTCCGCAATATTTATATTCTAGTGTAGTTGCCTGTGAGGTATAAATAATGAAATTTAAAATAGAAGAGCCTCGCCTGACGCCTGTTTTCAAGCCAAGGAACATAGTAATTGTGGTTGTTTTCACTACTAGGCACCCGAATAATGCTAATCTATATTTATTCCAGAGTATGGTTGAAGTGGTATCATACACGAGTATCCTGCTGTTTCATAGAAGTCCGCTATGCGGGCTTTGATCCTTGACATCGTCCGGTTTGCTCTCGCCGACTACTGCAGCTCCAAGATAGGAACATACCATAGTCAAGGTATCTGTGCAATTAAGCAAAAGTATAAAAGTATCTCCAGAATACAGTAGGCAGGTGGATTTGAAAAAATGCCATAGACGTTTCCCGCATATATCAACCATGGGCCGATAGACGCACATTGATGTAACTCCGAGACCCATACTGAAACTACCCGAAAACAGCCTCATTCTCTCATAGACGAAACTCTGAGGTATTGTCCACAGCAGATCTCCAATCATTCCCCCTCAATATAATATGCTAGAATAGGTAGGAGAAGGAGAACTAGCCAATGCCATATCAATATCTGCTCGTACTATTACACCCATGTGACGCGCTCACTTCCGCAAGCATAC